CTCCTTGCAGGTACGCGAAGGCATTGGTCGCAGCAGACTGTGCGCCCACGGCCGTGCGCCGGCCGCGCCGACGAAGTCCGCCACCGTCTCGTAGACGTCCGTCCCGCTGACGAGCTTCTGGGTGTTGCGCTCAAGGTTCGCTCGGCTCTCCTTGGTCAGCACCTTGTTGGGCGCGATCACGTACAGCGCCGGCAGCCGCTCCTCAAGCGGGCTGTGGAGAAGAGAGGAACACTGAATGTGAGTAACGTGGTGCACCATCATCACAGAGAATTGGCTTGAATCGGCGTACCCGTCCTTGGTGACGTGTTGCTTGCCGTAGCCGATGCCGTGGTCGGAAGCCAGCACCACGATCGTGTTGCCGTCGGAGAGATAACGCGGCAGCTGTTCTACCAGATCGTTGTCCATGGTCCTCACGATCCTCATCGATGGCTCGTGCCTGAACACATGCCGCGTTGGTCAGACGGAGGCAAAAAGAGACAAAGACAACGTTTAGCGAGAGTCGAGACGAACCCTTCGGCAAAGTCGAGGTAGGTGAAGCGAGGCACGCCGGTGTAGGTTTCGTGGAACAAGAGGCCAGAGTCGAGCACGTACTGATGAGCATAGCGAGCTGCAACACAGACGATCGAAACGATCATGTTAGGCGATTGAAAGACCAGGGCCACATGATGTGATGTCAGTGTCTTAGGCGTGTGACCGTACTGCTCAAACAGTGTTCGGAAGAGGAAGCGTGCATCTTGTAACGGTGGTCACAGTAGATCTCCTGGAAGTGCACATCCGTCCAGGGCCGCGACACAAAGTCGTCGTACACGAACGCCGCCGTCCTGTCGGAGTTGAAAACTCGGGTTAGACCTTTGGGAACGAACGCATTTGCCGTGCAGGCGTGAAGACGTATGAAGCGGGAGAAAGGTGCATACTTGGAGCACATGTCCCTGGCCGAATAGGTGATGTAGCCCTGCTCGGACAAGACGTCCCACATCCACACGCCCTTCCTCTCGTTCACGCGGAGCACCTTCTGCTCCTGGGGGAAGGGGCTTCCATCGAAAAACGCCTGCACAGTGCACACAACACACACGCCACGTCAGCATTGTCACAGGGAGCTGTAACGTAGCAGGTGTGCTAACAAGTTCTCGAAGCGTACCTGATCGTCCACGAAAGGGTAGCCAGAGAAAAAGGCGTAGCGGTTGGGCGGCGAATAGGCGCCGAGAGTGCCGAAGAACTGAAAGTCGAACACGCTGAATCGCTGCCCGGGCTCGCTGTTCAGGTTCTGGAAGAACTGGAGCGTCTTGGGCATAGCTGCAAAGTGCAACACCACCGCCACCGCCACCGCCAAAGGAGAAAGCAGATGTCAGATCTTCAGTCTGCCCGCAGCGAGGAACAAAGGAGAGTCGGTCGAACCTCGGACGAATTGCGCGCGAGATACGGCGTCGATCATCATCACAACGACGTTCGGCTGCCGAAAAAGTCAGAGTGTACGAGTGAGCGAATACGTGATGGGCGTATCGAACTCGGTATACACTGGGACTGACACAGAGGGGAGGTGGAGAGGTACCTTGATCGAAGAAGAGGAGAGATTGCGGGCGAGCACCTGCTCGTAGGCCTTCTCGTTGGTCATGGGAACCACCACGAGCTCCTCCAGTTCCTTGCACTTGAACTTGACATATTGGAGACTCCCCACTGTCGACCACGCACTGGTTAGCCCTGTGTCGTGTGCGCGTGCGCGCGTGTGTGCGTGCGTGTGCGGTGTTTACCTTGCGGAATGGTTGACAGCGAGAAGAGCTGATCGGGCGCCACGGTGCGAGTCTCCTTGGCCCAGCTGATGGTGGCCGGCTCGTCGCACTTGGACAGGAGTAGCCGACCCCTGTCGCGCAGCTGGTACCGCCCGCAGTTGCCCCCACGGCAGCAGCCCGCAAACGGCCGCCCGCCCCAGAAGTCCTTCTTGTAGTCCAGCGCCTGCGGCAACACGCACTGCCCGCCCTCCGACTCCTCAAGCCCATCGGCCTGGGCCTTCTTCCTTCGTGCCTCGCCCTCCTCCGTCTCGGCCTTGAGGCGCGGCAGCTCGATGCCCGTGCTGCTCAAGTTGATCGAGTCCATATTGTCTTGTTGTTGTTCGTTGTCGTTTTTGTTGTTGCTGTCGTCGGGGCCGGAGCCCGCATCGTCGCGTCGTGTGTTGTAGTAGTTCTTGGCCCACTTGGTGTAGCCGATCTCGGGCGGCTTGGCGGCGCCCTCTACTTGGTCCTCGGGCAGCGGCATCTGCTGGCGCAGGATGTCGAGCTGGCCCTGCAGGTCCTGCTGCTTGGTCTGCAGCTGCTCGATGCTGCGCTGAAGCTCGACCCGCTCTTGCCGCTCGCGAGCGTAGTCGGCCTCGAGGCGATGCAACGCGCGGTCGTCAGCGGTGGTTGGAGTGGAGGCGGAGGCCAAGGAGGACATGGAGAGGAGCTCGAGCGCGCCCAGTCTCGATGTGTCTGCGCCTTGCGGCGAGGCGGTGAAGAGCGTAACGGCCCAGAAGAAGAGCACGCCCACCACCACCAGCTTGAGGAAGAGCTTGTAGCGGGAGCCCGACGTAAGATGTCTCATCCTTCACTTGTAGTTTAGTGGATCGTTGTAGTGGGTGCCGGGGGGGCAAGGCGTAGAAAAAAAATCAAAGAAAGAGTAGAGAGAGATGGTGGTATATAAGAACAATGGTGGGTAAGGGTTGAGAGGTTCTTGCCGAGCTCGTCCCTGGTGCTTTGTGTGTGTGTGGTTGGCGAGGGTGGGTCCGGATAGTGGTGGAAACCAGGCGAGCACTCGCCCCCCTCCCCCGTAGTACACCAGTTCGACCAATGAGGCGCGGCGTGAAGTCGTTTTGGCCGCCTATGGCACGTGAGCTCAAATTTCCCCGTCGGCAAAACACTCTGTTACCGCCGGGAATTGGCGGCCCTTTACCCGAGAACTTTGAATTCCAGTGTCTCTGGAGAATTCACCGAGATAGGGGCCGACTGATTGGAATTCGAAGCAGGTCGATGGCCATCGACGCCGCGGGGCGCTTGGTGTTGCGGGCCAAGTGTGTCAATGTCAATGAGTCAGGTGGTTGGGCAATGTGGTTGGGCGTCATGGTTGGATTGGGCAACAATCTCAGAAAAGGCCACCAAGAAGAAGAAAGAAAAAGCAACTTTTTCTGTAGACGCTGCATGGCGCAGAAGCCATTTACCTGGACGAGTGCCCCGTGCAGGGTGCTGCGCAGCTGACTACACGCCGTGCTTCTTGTGTGGTCAGTGGGCCAGCCATGCACGTTCGGTCGTCCGCCACGCGTATTCGCACCTGCAGCATTCATGCCGGCAGTGTCTGTACCCCCCTCTGGCCGACTTCGCGCCTCGCCCCTCGCGCCTCCTCCCTCATCGCAGTTCCCCTCACCTCTCCACCGACCCCGTCTTCCGCCTTCTTCCTCCCTCTTTGCCCTCAGCTGCCGTTGCTGCCGTTCCCTCGATTTGCAGCGACCAAGGTGAGCTTCGCCACAGTGCGCGGCTTCTCGAGTTGGAGCCCCGGCCGCGCAGTGGGCAAGACGCGCTGGCTCTGGGCCAACCAGCGCCGCTCGGGGCGGTCCGACAACGGCGGCGCGGTGCCGTCGTCTTCGTCGCCGCCGCCTTGGCTTCGCCTCCGCTCCGACTCGCCTGGCGGACCGCCATCGCCCCCGAAGCTCGAGGGATCGCAGCTGCAGCGCGCGGTCAAGGTGGTGCTCCTCACCTTCACCTATGGCCCGCTGCTCTACATCACCCACCTCCTTCTCCCCACCGGCCTCCACATGGTTCGTTTATTTATCTATTTATTACCATTTACAATTATTAACCAGTTACTATTTATTATTTATTGTTATGGAGTGTCAAGGTTTGTCCTGACGGTGAGGTGCGCAGGCGGGACTGCCGCAGCTGGCAACGACCGATTGGACCGCTACGCTGGTGATTGTAGGGTCGTTTCTGCTGCCGCTGCGTACCGTCTCCCTGCGCCTGCTTCCGGCGTTCGTGCTGAGCGCCGCAGCCTTCGAGCTCACGGCTGCCGTCTGTCAGTCACTGATCAAGGCCGAATACGCCACTCAGGCGAAGCGCAGGTACTACTCACTCACGGTTCTTCACCAGCGCGTGTGCGGTGGTGTGCGTGTGCCGTGTGCCGTGTGCCGTGTGCCGTGTGCCGTGTGCCGTGTGCCGTGTGCCGTGTGCATGTCATGCGATTTCTTAAACTGAAGGATATATGGGGCAGTGAGGGATGGTGGAACAAGCTGTTCGGTGGGTACACCCTCGAGTACAACACCGAGCACGACGTCTACGAATACAAGCGGCGTGTTCTCTTCACACTTCTCGGACTGTACGCGTCTTCGTTCCCTGTATTTTGCTGTCGACCTGTGTCTCTGTGTCGAGATGTGACCTTCACACATTCTATCTATCTATCAATCTGGCTGGCCTGACGTACGCCGGCGTTCTTTCTCTCTCTATCTCTCTCTCTCACACAACACACCCAACAGTGGCCAGCAAGCAGAGGGTCCTCTGTTGGCCTCTCTTCACAACAACGCCCACTGCGCTGCTGGTACGACCCCTTTGCAGGTCTCAATAAAATATAGAAATATATATATTTTATATTGTCGGGTGCGTGACGGGTGGTGTGTTCCGTGTGCGCGCGCCCACACAGGAGTGGTTGCCGTCGGCAGTCGGCAAGCCGCCACCCTCCGGGAAATAAAGCAGTACCTCCTCACCGGCGATGCCCGCTCCGAGGAGGAAAAGCTCGCCGTGGTACGGGCCAGCCTGTGCCTGTGAGACCGTGGGGTGAGTCGTTAACTTGTTGTCCTCTTCTCGTGGTGGTGGAATTGCATCAACGATCAGATCGAGCACGAGAAAGGCCATGCCGACACGAGGTCGTTCTTCGACGTGCTCGACCTGTACATCGCCCACGTATTCCTTCAGGCGTGCTTGAAGCCGTCGCTAGGGTGCGTGCCTCTATCTATCTATCGAGCGCTGCGTTAGTCTGGCTGGCTGGCACCTTTCTCACTCTCAATTTCCGTTCCCCCCAGCCTGGTGCTTGCACCCATCTTTGTCGCGAGCGCGTGGACCCTGTCGGCCTGGTGCGCCGAAGCTGTGGCCGATATGCGGGCAGGTAGGTTTCTTGGTGACGCACCACACACACGACACACACACGACACACATGACACATGACACACGTCTAACACTCGCACGCGCAAGGTCGGAGAGGCTTGTACGTCAAGCTCACGGAATGCGCCGTGCGGCTACAGCGCAACACCGGCGAAGGCGAGGAAGACGCGCATGCGCTGCGTAAGATCTCGCAGGCCCTCGGCCCTACCGAGTCCGTTCACATCGCGCATACCGAAGCCTGCGCCGGCGGCGCGCCCTCGCCCTGCCACGGCGAGATCGGCCCTGGATCGCACCCGCCGGTCGAGTGGCGCTACTACGCCTGGCTCTACGGCGACCGGGTGTACCCCTGGCTCGAGCCGGTGCTGTCGGCCGTGGGCTCGGCCGTCACGCTCCGCCCGCTGATCGATCCGCTGCGGCCAGAGCTCGACGCCGCCGCGCTGCAGCTCGTCAACGAGCAAGCCAACCGCCAAGACGCGGAAACGAAGTGAGACTCAGACGAACGACGAACGACGAAGAAGGTACAAAAAAGCAAGTACTGTGTACGACTCCTACAGCTGAAATGTCATGCCGCTGCTGTCAGTGAAGCTTCCGTCGGAAGATGATGCTTCGACGGCCACCCACGACCGTACCATTGTTGTAGGCCACCTCCCAGCCATTCGCGATCAGCTGCGCCCACCGATCATCCATATATCATTGTGCGTCATCATCGTCATCATTAGCAGCAGCACAACAAGACTGAGGCTGAGCGTTAAAATGGAGCGCACCTCGGTGATGAGTTGTATCTCCTTCTCGTGGACCTTGACCTGAAACTGTGTCTCCTTGAGCTCGGCGATGTCGTCCTTGAGACTCTCCACCACGTGCCACTCTTGCTCCTGCATACACCCACATCAATGCTCAGCCGCACCACCGCACACGCACGACCAACGTTGGGCTCACCTCGTGGGACTCAGACTCGGAGAGTTTGAACTCGCAGTGCTGTTCGGTGACGGACGTGACAAAGTCGGCCGACTTGATCAGCAGCGTGTTCACCGACGTATAGCTCCTCCGCTGTACCGGCCGCGTTTGTGTCCAACACTACAGTTTTTCCAACAACACACGCATTTCAGTATGTGTGTGTCGTGTGTCGTGTGTCGTGTGTCGTGTGTCGCACACGCCGCGTGTTTGTACCCGCCACTGCAGGACGCAGGTGTCCCACTTGTCCAGGTGCTGCGGCCGCGCGTCCGCGGGTAGTTCGATGAGGTAGAAGTTGCACTCGGCCTCGACGGCGCTCCGGTCCATGCCCGGCGGCACGACCAGGCGCCCGGTGCGCAGGAAGTCGAGCACGGGGCCGAAGTGGTGGCCATTGCGGTCCACGAACAGGGCGCCATCGCCGTCGTGGGTCGCCCACTCGCGCGAGCGGTCGAGCAGGCCCGTGAAGAAGTTCTCCCCGCGGCTGCGTAAGGTGGCGGCCGTCGTCACGTAGACCACCCCGCCCACGTTGAGCCTCACCACCTCGCTACGCAGTTCCCCTTGCTGGGGTGGTTGTGGGTGGGTGCTCGGTGGTAGTTGTGGTGGCCTCAACGCCTTCAGCCTCAACCCTGAAGCAGAAGGAGATGACGAGGCGGGCGAGTGCGCAGGTGACGTGGCCGCCCCCGACGAGTTCTCCATCTTCCCCTCTCGAAAAAAGAAATAAAAATAAAATCAAGTAATGTAACTGTTTACGTAAATGTTGTTTTCTATTTCGAATATTGCGATACAATGCAGAGACGTCGGCTTAGCCGCGTGACTGCCTGAGGCCCACCCGACCTCCGGTGGTGGTGATGGGCACGGCCAGTACGGGCTTGGCGGCCTTCTGCGCCGGGCTGGCCTGAACCTTGGGTTGCTGCTGCTTGCTCGCCTGGAGCTGCGCTAGCTCCTGCACGATCCGCAACTTCTCCTTCTTCAGCTCGACCAGCGCCTGACGCAGCTTCTCCTCCTTGGCCTTCACCGCAGCCTCGGCCGCCGCGGCCTCCGCCTTCTTCTTCTCCTCCTTCTCCGCCCTCCTCTTCTCCTCCTCCGCCCGCTTCTTCTTCGCCGCCTCTTCCTCCTCCCGCTTCTTCTCCAGCCCCGCCTTCTTCGCCGGCAAGCCAGCGGCCGCCGCAGCGTTCTGCTGCTTGGGCGACTTCTGGGGCGCGACCGGCTCGACGACGGGCGCGGCGGGCGCGGAGGTCCGCCTGGCGGCGACGGCAGTGCGTCTTCGGTTGCGCATGGTGCACACCTGCGAGCGGGCTCGGTGGCCGCTCAGGCCGCAGTCGTCGCAGAAGGTCGGGCAGTGGCCGATGAGGTGGACCCAGCTGTCGTGCACGTAGCACCGATGAATGCAGTCGTGCTTGAACACGCCGTGGTCGGTGTCGCCGCACAGCTGGCAGAAGGGCCGGGTCTTGAACGGGCACTCGGCCCAGGCGTGGGTGTGGAGCTTGAGCTCGACGCAGCGGGTGCCCCGGCAGCGGTCCTCGCACTGGACGGACCGGTGGAACTCTGAGTTGCACAGCTTGCACCTCAGCTCGACCGGCTTGACTGGCTTTCTCGTCAAGGCCGCAGGCTGCTCCTGTTGCTTGTTACTGTTCTTGGTGCTGCCCATGTTGTTGTGGTGCTGATGATGCTGTGTTGGATGAGATTAGGAGGAGTGCCAGAGGCGAGCCTTATGAGTGAGCACAGGATCCAGATCAGTGAATGCAGCGCACCAGTTTGCCAGAAAGTTAGAATGACCAAATAATTCTCCCTTGACGGAATTGCCCAGAAATATCGAAAAATAAAAAAGAAAGCAGATATGGATGACGTCAGCCGGGGCTGTTGCGAAAGAAGACGATCAGGTGAAAAGGGGTAAAAAGCTTTATGGCAGGAATGTATGTACAAGTGGCACCGGAGGCATTGCGTGTGTGCTGCCTCACTCGCTAAAGGAAAAGAGTGTAGAGAGGTCTCGCTTGTCAGCGCTTAGTGCGAGAACTTGGCGGCCGAGGTGGGCGGACTCGACACCAACGGGGCCGTGCTCACGTTCACCTTTAGGTCGCTCTCCGCAAAGTGCGCTGCAGTTATAAAAGAAAGAAGAAAGAAGACGATAAGCCAAGGTTGTCTTCATGAAAGCTGCCAACACCATGCACCGAAGCAAAGAGTAGTGTGGATGATGACGTACGTTTGTAGGACGGGTGAGAGAGGCCGGCGTTGGGCACGAGCTGCGTGATGCGGTCGAAGAAGGACGAGAGGTCGAAGACGCGCGCATCGCGATTCCAGAGGGTGAGCACGTTGTCCTCACCGCGACGCACGGAGACGCTCACGCCGCACACGTCGTCGCCCGAGGCGGCCATGGCCGGGTGGAACTGCTCGCCGATGGCGGCCAGCAGGACGTAGAGCCACGCCTTGGCCGTCTGGTGCTTGGGCACGCGCACGGAGAACGACCCGCCGCCCACGTTGGCGGCGTCCTCCCATAGCGGCACCACGCCGAGCTTCATGAGGTGCATGCTGTTGCCGGGCCGCAGCTGCATGGGCGACGGCAGATTGTTGTAGTAGTTCCAGAAGTCCTGGCACAGCACAACCACGTCACGGCGTCAGTCACCGACACACGATCAATCAACACGTGACATGGCACGAGCTATGCATGTAACGGTCTGATCATGATGAGAGACGGTGTAGACGTCTATACCTGGACTGAGCCAAAGCCGCCGAGGTTGTGCAGGGCAGCGGCGTACTCTTCGACCGTGCGGCCGGGTCCGATGTACTTGTCGTACCAGAAGGCCCAGCCATTCTCAAGCAGCAAGGGTCCGTCCTGGCCCACCTCCTATGGCGTGCACACAATAGCGCAAGGAAAGAGAGGTCAGTATACCGCACACAGTGCACACGCCGCGCGCGCACACATGACACACGCAGGAACAGGAAGGCTCACCTCTACGACGTAGGAGGAGAGAAGGTCGGTGGCACGGCCTCGCGTGTCGAAGAGGTCCACGAAGCTGAGGCCATCGTCATCGTGTTGTTGCTGCTGCTGCTGTTGCTGCTGAGTGTACAGTTGTTGGGGCTGCTGTTGTTGCGCACGAGCGTAGGGGTTGTAGGGGGCGGCAACGGAGTTGAATTCGTTGCTGTTGCTGAAGTCACCAGCGTAGGTCGAGGTGGAGGTCTCAAACATGGTTTCAACGTTTGATTCGAGCGCGTAGTGAAGGAAGAGGTTGGAGATTGAGGTTGGCGTAAGAAGAAAGGCTGAATCAGAGGGGAGGCTCTAATTCAAAATGCGGCGATTTGATGGGTGTCTCAAATGGCGGCACGGGGGGCGGTCGATCGCCTGACCTGCGAAGGCTTGAAGAGGGACATCTAAGATGTTTGGGGGTAGATGGAGCGACTGCGCGGCTCGTGTGGGCCTGCCCGGCGAGGTGTGGGGCTTGGCGAAAGAGGGAGAGAGATGGCCACAAGTGCCTTGGGCGTCCCGTTTTATGCCCCCATGTTCCTCCTTTCTTCGTTTCTTCTTTGGTCAGGGGGCGCACGAGCCAGGAAGGGCGAGTTTACCACCGGAAATTGGCCAGAAATGTGCAATCCCCGCGGTAAAACCGCAAAATAAGATCAGGACTTGGGCTCACCTGCTCCTGACCGCACACGCACCACCGCGCACCACCGCACACACCACCGCACACGCACACGCACACGCACACGCACACGCACACTACGATTGTAATGGGTTTGTGTTTGATTTTGGTATTCATCGATGCCTTGAAACGTGAAGGGGCGGCTTTAGAGCTGGCCAAGCGCCTTGAACTTGCGTATCTGCTCCTCCATTGGTGTCTCGCGGGCGCGGGTGAGTGGGTCCCACACGTAGTGGTAGAAGAGAGTGTGCAGGAAGAGGAACACCAGGAGCACTGCTACTAGTCGTGTCACGAAGAAGATGAGGGCTTTCCGCTTATCCACCTCGTACTCGTACTCCGTATCCTCGTTTTCCTCCTCCTCCTCTCCTTTGTTTCCATCTTCGCCTTTCTTTCGTTTTACGATTCGCCACTTGCGCTTGATGAGCCAGTGGTCGGACGGCACCTCTACCAGCTCCACCTCCTCTCCATCTTCCTCCTTCTTATTTTCGCTCTGCGGCCGTCCCCGCGCCGGTTCGGCCGCAGTAGTCTGTGCCGCTGCCGTCTTCTCCTCTCCCTTCTCGCCCCCTCCTCCCGCTCCTTGCTTTCGCTTTCGCATTGTTGTTTTTTATTTGTTGTTTCTTTTTCCTTTTTATTTTATTACTTCTTTAATTCTCCAGGGGCTCACAGCTTCTGTATGCGGTCTTTGAACTTGAGGGTTTGGTCATCGGCCACGAGGTTCTGCACTCGGCCACCGAGAGCGTGTGGCAGGGATGGTAGTGGTGAAATGAGCTCATCAGCCAGCCCATTGGGGAAGAGGTGAAGCAAATGTGTACGAGCGTACCGAACGGACCAGCAGGCCGAGGAGCTTGAGGCCGTTGGCTTTGTCTTCGACTCGCGCGCAGCAGCCAAGCATTGCGTTGATGACCTTCAGGTCGGGCTTGATGCGCGCGTCTATGGGAGGTAAAAAGGTGGTGAGGAGCAGTCGAGCGAGAACACTAAAGAAGAAGAAGAAAGCTTGCGCTCGCACCTTCCATCTCCTCGAACAGCTGAAAGGCTCGCTGGGTGAGCGGGTGGTTGATGTCGTTTCGGTAGTTGTACTCCTCCTCCTTGTTGAAGTAGTTGTTGTTCAAGCAATGCACGATCAGGCTTCGGTACGTGCGCAGCCCTGGTTTTAGCGTTGTCTTCCCCGACTGCACAACGCCAAACAAGGTGTGAGTTGCGGCGTGTGGTGTGCGTGCGGTGCGGTGCGTAAACCCACGCACCTCTCGTTGCTCTCGTTCGGCCTCGTGCTGCATTTCCCTGAAGAGGGCCAGGGCTCGCTTGATGCTGGCGCGCTTGCAGGCCAGCTCGATCATGGCATCGTACACGTCCTTGCTCCGCGCGATGCCGTGTCGCGGCATCTCGTGGAACAGCGCCCACGCCTGCGTGTACAGCCAGTCCCCTTTCTCTCCCTGCTGCTGTCGCTTGTTCTCCCCCTTCTCCGCCACGCCTCCTCCGTCTCGGGTGCTAGGGTGGTCGCCGCTCTCGAGCGAATCGATCCACCCGCGCTCTTCGTCGGTCTCGGTGGGCTTCCGCAGAGGCGGGACGTAGGCGTTGGCGATGGCCTTGACCACGGCCGAGTAGATGTCGCCGGGCACAATGTAGTGAGGATGCTTGGTCAGGAAAGTCTCGAGCGCCTGCATGTCCCGGTTCTTCTCGCAGCCGCGCACGAACTTGAGCGCAAGCAACTTGGCCACGCTCTGCATCTCCATACCAGTCCACTGTGCCTCGTCCCTATGTTGCTTGTGCCTCTCCTGTACGCAAGGTTAGAATTAGCGCGCGACACAAGCGACACACACGCACACACGCACACGCACACGCACACACTCCACACACACACACACACACACACACAAGAGCGCGCGAACACGTAGGAATACAGTACCGCCTCCCGCTTGAACAGATCAAACACCTGCAGGGCGCGCGTGGTGTTATCTCGCTTCAGGCACAGGCTCATGAGCTTGAAGAAGGTGGCGTAGTCCGGATCGATGTTGCGCCCACGGCTCATGTCCTCGAGCAGCGCGAACGCCTTGTCGACGTATTGCGCGTTGGCCTCCCTCCGTCTCTGCTTCTCCATCTCGCTCATCTCCCGCTCCTCCCGCTCCTTCTGCTTGCGCTCCTCCTCCTCGCGCTCCTCGCGCTCCCTCTCCTCCGCCTCCCTTCGCAGCCGGTCCTCCTCCTTCTTCCGCATCTCCTCTCGTCGCCGCTCGGCCTCCTGCTCCTCGAAGAGTGCCATCTGCTCGACGTTCCCGGCCCCCTCCCACTCGTCGGTCCATTCCCGATCCCAGTCCTCGTCGACCTCTCCCTCGCGCCCATCCCGGGTGGCGTTGGCCATCCACAGGTCGTCGATCTGGTAGTCGTCCTCTTCTTTCCACTTGCCGGCGAGGACGTCCAGCACCTTCCCGTAGATGGCGGCGTCGAGCGCGACGTCGGGGTGGTTGGCCTTGACGTCTTCGAATGCCTGAAGCGCCCGCTCTTCCTGTTCTGCCCGCCCATATGCTCCTGTCACGTTGCGTTGCATGTAAGCCAACACACACACACACACACACGCACGCACGCGCGCACACGCCACAAGGGTAAGGAAAGAAGCGGACCTATAAGGTGGCCATAAGCGCTCGCGTCCGGTTCCACCTGAGCCCGCTGCATTTCCTTGATCATCTTTTGTATGATCTTTGCATCCGCTTCAATCTCGAAACCTGGACAACAAGACCACAAATAATGAGTTGTGAAAATAATAGAGCTCTAGAAAAGAGTCAGTGCGTACCGCGCAGCATGAGGTCGTAGCTGCGTCTGTCGGGCTTGAGGTTGCCCCGCTCAATATCGCGAAACAGAATGCCGGCCGTCTTCATGTCGTACTGGTTTGATTGCGCGTAGAACGGTTTCATGGTTAAGCCATATCACCAAGCTGGTGTCCACGATGAGGCGGAGGTCGGGCGTACGTGGCGGACGCAGACAGCAATGAGGCTGTTGATGACCTCCAGGTTGGGCCGGATGGGCGGCTTTTCGAGTTTCATCGCCTCCAGCAGTTGAATGGCCTGCTTCACCTCCTCCTTCCTGCCTCCTGCGCTGCCGCTGGAGCCGCGCCTCCCCTCCTTCTTCTTGTCGAACTCGGAGATGCGATGCGCGAACGTGCGCGCGTTGGGCTTGACGTTGAAGGTCTTCTTGAAGTGGGCCACGACGTCATCGATGTCCTGCGTGCGGCCGTCCCTGACGCTGGCCAGCACCAGACAGTTCAGAGTCTCCGTGTCGGGCTTGATCAAGTTGTTGCGCATCCGGGCGAACACGTTGAAGCAGTCCTCGCGCAGGCCCATCTCCGCGAGCGCGTTCATGACGACGTTGTAGTCGCCCACCTCGCCGGCGGTGAGTCGCTGCAGCAGCAACCGCACGCGCG